CTAGATCTAGATTCATACTGCAATTCTTCACAAGCCGCAATGGTAAACGAATTCCAGCAAAAATACAACCACAATGTTTTAAATGCAGCTGGAATGGAGAAGGGTGCTGCTGCGTGGAAACGCGAATTAGCTCCCTCAGAATCATTGACAGATGTTTATGCTTAGAATCAACCGTAGTATAGTGCAGTTACTTGTGTTCTCCCACCCCCTTCCACAGGTGAACGAGAGCAGCCCGAGTACATACATGACTGCTGGAGCCATTCTTACTCATGCGGAAGCTCCGGAACCCAACCACACAGCCAAAAGCAGTATGCACTTAGCAAAGCACGAAACCGGTAACTCAGTATCCACTTTCTATTAACTATGATTACGCACAAAAGCGATAATCTCGCAAAAAAACCGCTCTTATTGAAGTATCCTAATTCAAATGAAGTTAAAGGGACGCGTGGTCCCACAACGAAGTGGACGACTTGCGCCCGTAAAACTCGTCCGGCATTTTTTTCCGGGTGTAGGTTTAGGCGACAGTTAGAGCAAAGTATCATTCAGTCCATATTTCTTTGGTTACTGGAGTTTTCAGTGTGTTTTAAGTCAGAGGGGTATTTTGGCTGCTGTAGCGAGGCCAGGGAGCTAACTGAACCGAGGAGAAGAGAATTCGCAAGAGATTCCACGGCTTTAGTAGTATGCCATCTAAAAACAAACTATGGATCCTGGTCCTTGCGGTGTGTGATTTGAGTTCGCAGCTGCAGAAATCCGCCAACCCCATGACCGTCCACACATATCACTATAGCCAAACTCGCTGCTTTCCTGTGCCTCTCGCTTCTTGTTGTTGTCGGGTCCACGACCTGGATGGGCGTGGCCCGAGATTACGGTATCGCAGGAAGCTGGCGCAAGGCAACTGGAAGACGAGAGAGACACAGTGGTAGTGAGTACTCACGATGTGACGGTCCACCCCCGACCGTCTTCCACTCCCAAGTTCCCTTCCCCTTTGATGTTATTATGATAAATATGTATAGCCTAAAACTCTTTTGTATTCAAAACCGCTACACACCTTCAGATACAGGAGTCATGAACCTGTAATCTGATATTGTTCTCTACCGCTGAGTGTCTGTTTCGCTGCACGATCTCGGTATCGACACAAGCGCTGCACAAAGAGGATAATGCATGCAAATTCGGCAGACGGCACCCGTGTACCTCTACCCTCCGAACTACTTACAATGCATTTTGGAGATTTTTTTCGTGATACACCACTGCAGCTGGAGATTTGTCCACCTCGCACACGACAAGGGCCACCGGCGGGGTGAGTGTACACTTTGCTGGAGGGGGTGGGGGAAGGAGGGA